AGTGGGGGAGACGACTCCTCAGTCCCATCTTATGCCCTGTTAACAGCTGCTGAGGTTTAGCAAGGTCCAGCTCCCATTCCTCTACCCTGGTTTCCAGCCAGCAGGTTCACGTAATTCAAGATGGCAGTTGCTTCACATCTGTTTATGCCCCTCGCCCCCATCTCGTCCACTACCCTTGGTTCCGTACATTGGTCGCTGGACAAACTCCATTCCAAGTCCAAGCCCAGTTGAGTGTTAGTGAATTTAAGGCCCTGGGATGTGCACAGATAGCTCATTTGATGCTGGTGCTCCCTTGAAAAACATCCACATGCACTAATCACCCCAGAGAGTAGTCAGGCAATCTAGCACTTTCATGCCCAGTGGAGAGGTGAAGAGGTTATATTTTAAGCAATCCTAGAAACTGGAGAAAACAGGTTTCGCTAAATTTCATTTGAAACTCACCAGAAGTGAGAGGTAAGTTCGCTGCGGGTGTAAGTACAGGCTGCACCTCTGTAAACCGGTCCCGGACCACGGATGTTCCAGGATCAGAGTCCTGGCACGCTGTGGGGATGGTGGGGCTAGGAACCTGGCATGTTGTGGGTGGAGGGATGATGTGCAGCCCAACTGGGCTGCGAGGGGAAAGGCGGGAGCTGGTGTGCGGCTCAGCAGGATTGGCAGAGCGTGACTCAGCTGGGCTGTGGGAAGGGGGAGCCAGGAAGCTCGGTGGGGTGCAGGGCAGGGGTGGGGCCAGTAAAATCCCTCATCCAGGACTAGTCAGGTCATGAGAATGCTGGACCAGGGAGGTCCAACCTGTAGATTGACATCCAAGAGCTTATGATGAATTTGTCCCTTTACTACTTTTTATACACTCAACCATTTCAGCAGTTTAAAGTGCATCAAATATGTGACCGAGCTCACTTGTCTACTATTTACCAGAATGTTAACAGTAAGTCAGGACAGGGAGGCTACTTAGTCCCCAGTGAATAAGGGGTTAACTTCAGTCCATCTTCCTCCATCCTGGCACACAGAACCACAGGTGAAAGCCTGGCCCTGGGTAAGTCGATGCGGATCAGCAAATAGCCATTTGGTCACCACACCTTCAAGACACTGGGGTAAAACCCTGACCTTGTTGAAGTCCATGGCTCTGGCATTCAACTAGTCCCGGAGGTGGCAGGTTTGTGCCTCACTTGATCGTATGTGGAAAGACTACTCCGGTATATCCAGAGGTAAAATGGGTGCTGGGTGAGTAGGAGTAAGCAAGTCAAAGGCAGCGCTCCCTTGCCTACCAGCGACTAGGGAAACGGCCATGTCAGGCAGCTGTGCTGGGGCAGACTGACCCCGAGAGGGCAGGCTAGCACCATTAGGCTTACTTTCTCACTATTCATCCTAACACCAACGGGGCAGCTGTGGTCTGTAAGGTCTGTTGCTGCAGAGTCAGCTTGCCACTGCATGTTCCACTCACACACACACGGAGAGGCTGATGAGTTAGGGTTAGGGGTGTGAAAGGTTAACCAGTTAAATTAACCGGTGAGGGCTGGAGCAGCTCCCCACCTCTTGCGAGCAGGGGGCTGCTCTGGTCGGCAGGAGCAACCCGTCCACGGCAGGCCTTGGCAGGGACTGCTCTCGCCAGGCTGGTGCAGCCCTTGCTGCAGCCGGGGGAGGAGAGAGGGGAGGAAGGAGGGTCCCTCAGCAAGTGGGACCCACCACTTCAGCCCAGCAGGGCTGGAGCGGCTCCCCCACCCGTGCCGCCTTTAATCGGATAACTAGTTACACAAACTGTTTAACTGGTTAAGCAATTAAATGGGATTTTACATCCCTAGTCAGGTTTTGTCATCACTGCCCTGAAACACACTAATGCAAAGCAGGGGTGTGAAGGCCCAGGGCGTGTGCACCATTATCTATATCAGAGGTGAGCAAAAGGGTTCCCCGCCCCAGGCCCTGTTGCTCCCCTGCTCCCAGGCCAATTAGGGGGTGGGGGTGGAGGAGCGTGTGAAGCCTCCTTCCACCCTGCCAGGAACACATGGTGCTTTGAAGTGCTGTGCACTGCTTGCAGGGTGTGTGGGGGAGGGGCGGGGAACAGAGGAGGCTTTGGGTGCTCCCCCACCCCCTGGCCTATCAGAGCCTGGGAGCGGGGGAGCTGCATGAAACTTCCTTCGCCCTGCCCCAGCCCTGCAAGGAGCCTGTGGCACTTCAAAGTGCCATGGTCTCCTCACAGGGCGGGAGGAGGCTTCACGTGCTCCCCGCCCCCAAGCCCTGATTGGCCTGGGGGTGGGGGAGTGTGCCAAGCCTCTTCCAGGGCATGGGTGCCTAGTGGGAAGAGGGGGCAAAGGGGCTCTCCCACCCCCAGACCAATCATGGTCTGGGGGTGGCATAGCCCCTCCCCTTCTCGTTTAGGCCCCGCCCCTTCCGGGGTGGCCCAGGGCTACTTCAAAAATGTTTGAAGTGTCCCCCGGGCAAAATTTATTGCCCACGCCTGGGCTAGAGGGACCATTAGATTCTTTAGCCAAACCTCCTACATAGCAGAAGTAAACCACTCCACCCAACACCCACCAACTAAATCCAACCTCAGACATAAGACCAGAGGAGACCAGACTATTATGTGGCCCAGGCAGTGCAGAGGCGGGATGAAGGTAAACTAATGCTGGAGGCCCAATAGGGAAATAATTAAATGAGATCAACTCAGAGAACCCTGGCAAATGACCTTCACCCACCCAAGGCAGCGCAAAGCAGAAAGGCCCCCGGGGTCTCTTCCAATTTGACGGCACCTTATGTGCCTCCTGACACCATGTATGGTGAACAATTCAACCCTGAGCATATGAGCAGGACCAGCCAGCCAAGCACCTGAGGGAGAGAACACCAGTACCACTGGGCCATCTTAGCTATTACATTGGCATTTTAAAATAGGTAGTTCTCAAAATATGGTCCATGGACCACTAGTGGTCCGTGACCATCTTGCCAGTGGGCTGCAGGCTTGGGACTCTTCCCCTCCCGCGCCATGAGGTTGGAGCAGCAGGGAGCCCCGAGTCTTGCAAACTGGATCCAGCTCGTGAGGATATGAAGTGGCTTTATGCACTGACACTCTCTCCCCGCCTCCGCCTGGGGGAAAGGCAGCGTAGGAAACTGCTCACGGGGAGGCTTCATCTGCTGCTCCCATTGGCTGGAATCCCTGGGAGCAGTGGGAGGCACGAAGGTTCTCCATTCCCCTCATGCCCAGACCATCATCCCTCTCAGGCCTTCTACCCCTTCCTTCTGCAGCACCTCTTTTGTCATCGTGGGTGGTTGGCTGGTAGTCCATGGAAAGGTCTGTGTTGAGCAGGGTGAGCCACGGGCCAAAAAGTTTGAGAACATCTGCTTTGATGTTACCACAACCGTTGAGAGCTTTCTGAAATATTTGGCTCTTCACATAAATTTCACATTGCTAACTTTGCTCCCGCTCTCTATAGCCCATTCAAAGAAAGGCCTTTGCCATGGTTCAGATCATTTTACTTATCACTCAGTACAGTATAACATACAGTATCAAAGACTATTAAGATTCTCAACATGGATATTTGGTTTCCAATGGTATGTGCTACTCCACAAAGGTTAACTTCAGTTTTAAATAGCTTCACCATCTGTCCTGTGATGGCTCACAGGAGCTTAATAATTAAAGAGGCAGAAAAAGAATTTCTCAAACTTTTTTTTGGGGGGGAGAGGGAGGAAAGGGGACATTTTGAGCCAAGCGCACGCCACTTAAAAATAAACACATGCAGCATGTGAATTACTCCAACAAGTTTGTAATGTCACTGAATTTCATTAGCACAAAAACCTAACCCTGCATTTCATCAGCTCCAGGAAGCCTACAGCTCAGGCTCGGATTGCAGGGTTCGCAGAGCAGGATTGCGCAGAGGTGCAAAGCAGCTGAGTCAATTACACGTTGCCCAACTACAGAGGAGACTAGGAGACCTGCCCGTGGTTATGTGCAACTTTTATCATCAGTATCAACATTTTCACACTTGGCACTTCACTCAGTGGCCTCATTTGCTGAGGGGCTGAGCAGCGGCAGCTCCCACTGTTCGCTGGAAGTTATGGGTGTTCACCACCCCTGACAATCAAAAGGCCCTGTGCACCAAAACACAATCACCTGGGCAAGGCACCATTTTGGGAGAGTGGGTGGATTGCCGAGGAGTGTCCAAAGCACTAGTCACACATGTGCTGTGTTTTACTTATCAGTAGAATCACTATTAGTTGATTGACAGTAAGGTAGAGGTTACAACACTCTTCCCTTGTGTGTAATTGTTGCTGACACCAATGGGAGCTGCCCATGGGGAATTAAGACTCTATGGACCTAATCCTGTGGAATTGTTCCACTGACTCTCAAGGGGGGGTTGGATCAGGGACTATGCAAGGATTGAAGTGCTGTGCATAACGTGTAACAGACAACTCCACTCCCATTTACCTTCTCCATGAAGAGCTGTGTAACACACACCTCCTGGAGATCGTGTTCTGTCCCATCTAGTGGCCACTTGGGGCGTGTCTCCACTACACCAGGGATTGATGCTGCAGCCATCGTTCCACCAGCCATCGATTTATCATGTCTGCTTAGACATGACAAATCGATCTCCGAGCACTTTCTCGTAGACGCTGATGCTCCACCAGGATGAGTAGAGTAGCCGGCATCAATGGAAGAGCAGCCCCCACCAATCATCGCATGCAAGATGTTGCAGAAATTTCATCAACTTCAGCTAAGCTATTTGCCTAGCCAAAGTGACATAGATTAGACAGACGACAGGGTTAGTATAGACAAGGCCAAAGATTGAGATTAATGAATCTGCTCTACGGCTGTGGCTAGGGGCCATGAGGTTTTTAGGTTAGGCAATAGAGCAGTGTGCATTTAGCTCCAGAGGCCCAAGTTTGATCCAGACCACTGACAACTGGGGCGTGTCACGTTACAACTGCATCTTATGTGTCTCTGATAAACCATTTGCTTGCTCTTGAAAATGAGAGTTAGGAGCATCCCATGAGACAGATGAGGCAAAAATATTAATCAGAACAACATACCAAAGTTTATTACTTCAAACAGAAGTTTTTGTAATGAAAAAGGGCAAGTTGCATTCATAAAAGGTAACATTCACATTCAATATCTGTTATATAAAGCAACATATGTATAAAATTGCATTTTAAATGGAGGGGGGAAAGTAAGTTTGCAGTCCCATTTTTTAAAAAGAAGCTGTAAAATGTTTTGTCTCATCACCTGTGGACAATTTACACCTGTTTCTATGCTATGTGTCGTTTAAAAAAATTCCACAACTGAAGTTGGATGAGTGGCACAACAGTGATTTTAATTACATCATCCATCAGTAGGTATTATGCAAATTGCTTTTTAATTCTTACATAATTCCAGGCCACTTTTAATCTCCCCATATGAAAAAAGTTAAGTTTTGAAAAACAGATTGAGTTTATGAACATTTCCACTAGTACTTTGAGCAAGTCTAGCTATTTATAGTTTTGTGTCACTAATCAGTGTGATTAATCTGTAGTGAACTGTTAGAAGCATTAACCAGTTTCCTTCAAGTTTTTCCACCTATAAGTTCCGACTGACCTTTTAGCTTATTCCTGAAATGTGCCGTAACAATACAACTTGTGTTATTTTATGACATTGTGTTACTGTCAAATTATTGCCATTCTACTGCTAATTTCAGGCAGAACTGTTGCAGCCTTTTCTTCCTCTCTCTAATTTCAGAAGCCTGGTCTACAAGAGGACCTTAGTACGAAATTAGCCCCTCAAGGTCAATTTTCTAAACAATGCGTCCACATTACCAAACCCATTATTCCAGACTAAGGGGCCAGGGAATTTGAACTCTGTAGTCCTGCTTTTCCCAAGGAATAACTTGTAAGTCTGAAATAATGTTAGTGTAGATGCTAATTTGAATTAATGGATCTCTGGGAGGCCTCCCACAACCCCCCAAAGTGCTTCCTGGAGCTTTAAGTCCAAGGCAGACTCAGTTAATGTGAACGTGCTACCTTGGACTTCATTTGATTCTTCCCTGTAATGAGGACACAGAACTTCGAATATGAACGTGCTACCTTGGACTTCATTTTATTCTTCCCTGTAATGAGGACACAGAACTTCGAATTTGTAAAATCCGGTACCCAGAAGTCGAACATTGTAAATTCAAAATAATCGCCTAGTGTAGACACAGCCCAAATGAATTCTTCTATTCCCTCTTCCCCACAGGACCCCAGGACGCAATCGGATTTGGGGGTTGCTAGTTCTGAATCTGGCAGGTCATCACATTAGCTGGTGCAAATCAGCATAGGTCTGTGGGAGTCAGTGGGGGAGCTACACCAATATACCAGCTAAGGCTCTTGCCCAAGAAAGCTGGCTTTTCCAGAACCCTATGGCTGGTATGCTAGATGTTTTGGGTGAATTCCAGCCCATTCGTGTAGATCCTCATATCCGTTTTAGTTTTGGATGAACATCTATAGTGAATGGTTCCCTCTACACCAGTGTTAGTTTGTTGGAGATGGAAAGAGAACATTTTGGTTTCAAGCAAGATTACGCTTAAAATGCAGTACTCCTAAGGATATACCACAATTCTGTTGACATTGGTGCCAAAAACAAAAATTCCACTGGCATCAGCTGGAGCAGAATTAGATCCCAACAACGCAGAACGCTACACGAAACAAACGATGAGGAGGCGGTCAGCGCCCAACCTGGAATGGTCTCAGCCCACTGGAAGTCCGCATTTCAGTGCCCATATTATAAAGACTATGTAAACAGATCAGCAAAGAGAACCGTGCGCTGAAGCACAGAAGTGGTTTTGTCAGAGTATTGGTCAACTGTGCCCTTCATGCTCTAATGTGTAGGCACAACATGTTAGCCATTTTCATGGTTGATCAGACAAAATCCAAGGCTGCATTCTAGTACCATGCGGCGAATGGAAGGAAAGGGGGATTTGCTCACAAGGTGTAAGAGGGGAATGCAATCCCACCCACGCGCAGCAGGGAGGTGCCGGGTAAGGTGCAGTGCAGTGAAAGGGGTGGACCACTCCCCTATCCATGCTGGGTCTCAAGTCAGTGGAGCTATGGTGTGTCCAATTCACTAGTCCTGCTCATGTTTCCCCCCCTTCCATGTGGAGTAGCACAGAGCAGTCATAATACACAGGGGTGGCAGAGGCAAAGTTTCTACTTTTTCCCCTTGCTATCCATGAATGACAGACTGTGTGTGATTGCTTATGCATGGGGGAGAACTTGCCTGCAATTAGTGAGGGGCAGCAGACCCCCATCCAGATTTCCTTAAGGAAATACCCCAACAATTTCAGAGGCAGCAGGAGAGAGGCTAAGAGACTGAACAGCCTGTCAGTTTTTTTAAAAAATCAAGTCTATCAACAGGCATAAAATCAGGTGCACGGCTTTCTGATACACATCTGCGCCAATTCCGTTACAGTTTTAGAGTTTCCAAACCTTCTGAATGGAGAGAATTGATTTTTTTTTGGCAAAAATTTATTTTGGCCATCGAAATTTCATGGAGACGGGAATTTTCTGCCCAGCCCCTAATTTCTAGTCCCTTTGTGCCAAAGCCTTAAGGAAAAATTTCAGAAGTGCCCAAGTGACTTAGGAGTCTGACTTCCACTGACTTTCAGCAAGACATGGGAGTCTAAGAAAATGGGACTGATACACTTTTAAAATTATTACCCTCAAGTATTTTGCTTTATCTGGCACAGCGAAACCTGGGCCTTACAAGTCAACCTGATGGGAAAATATTAAAAAAATAAAATGCCAATTGCACTTAATCCATGCCCATTCTGTGCTTTATATAATCAAAGAAATGTTGTTCCCCTACAAAACAAAATCAAATAGAAGTTGCATTTTACGTTTATGTTGTGCACATGTGGCATTATTAAATCTTAACTCCAACAACTTGATCTAAGCAGATTTTTTTAAACTGACCTTGTTTTTTGTTGGTGCAAATAATAGTTTGCAGATGTAACTGGCAGGGATGTTACCTATTGGGTATTTGTGTAGACGCGTAACCACTTGAAATTTTAGTGGTTACATGTTTACATGCAGGAGGAGGGGGATAGGAGGGAGTCAGTTCTCATGGGGAGCCAGCTTTTACATCAGCTCCCTACGAGCATTGGCTCCTGTCTCCTCCCCTTGGCTGCCTGTGCAGCAGCCAGCACACACGGAGGGCCAACTTAAAAGACAGCTTCCCACACATGTTGGCTCCCATCTCCGTTGCCTCTTGCTGCCTCTGATACAGAAGCAGCAAGGGTGGGGGGAGGGGGGATGGCGGAGGGATGTGCACAGTCAATAGGATTAATCGATAAACCCAGGCTTATCGGTTAATCATGTAGTCGACTACATGTTGACATTGCTAGTATATGGTATTATTTGCAAGCACAATCAAGGTCAGTGGGCCCCCAAAGGCCTGCCCATGACTGCCATTTAAGGTGTCCAAACAACTGCAATTACATGCACCAGAGTGTGAGCACAACCACAGAGACCCACTTACACTCAGGCTGAAAACCTGGCTCAACGCAACTTTTAGTCAAGATTCTTTCCTTACTAAGGAGATTTTCATGAGTAATAAAAAATTCTGTATACTTCCAATTCAGAAGGAGGGTGGATCTTTCTCTTTCAGAAACAAATCTGCTGACGTGAAAAACAGTCTTGCCAAATAAACACTCTTCAAATATTTTGATCAGCTCCTCAAAAAGGTCTAGGTGGATGCACTTCTGAATTTTAATACACAGAGACCATTTAATAACATTACCCCTGATATTTGCAAGGAAAGGGGAGGCTGCTGGACATTTCTCACCGTCCTGTGATGTGTCCCAGTATTTCTGCTGAGTGGATCTGAAAGCTTCACTTTTCTAACACTCATGTCCTGCCTTCAGTTGCTGATGCACAGCTCTCATGAGAAGCAATGGGAGCTGTGTAAGAAGACAGAACATGGCTCTAATGTAGGGTCCAACCCAACTTCCACGATGGGCGCCGTTCCAGTGCCTTCCATGGGAGTTGGAAAGGACAGTGATGAAGCAGAAAGGCCGTGCTACTTCTTTGGTCAGGCAAATGAATAAGACTTTAGTAGCCATTCACTGTGGTAGGATGAATCAGAGGGGCAGAGCCTCATTTTCTTCATTGGGCATAAAGACCATCCATGCAAATCTGAAGTTTCTATTGTTCCATTTGTATCAAATTCTTGACATTCTTTTCTCCGCTCCCGATTCCGTGGACTTTTTATGTCCCAGACTTTTCCGTTTTCAGACTTCACAGCTGCTTGGTCAACAAGGCTGCTTACAATAGTTGTGTCACCTTAAAGAGAACTGTGAATTCAAACATGCGTCTTGTCCTATATGTCTTGTCCTACAGCACAATAACGTGCCGTGTTTAGAGTGGTTGCATTTGAGGTATCCTGAGATGATAGCTTTGTGACTAATTATTAACAGCATCTTCTGTTTTCCTTGCAGAGATGTAACCATTCTCCATAGGTTTGTAGGACAATAGCATAGGCAAATTAACGGGCACGGTCTATAAAATTAGAAAGAAAAAAAATCATTTACTTTAACCTCAGCATTCCAAAAATCGTAGTTTGATTATTCTAGACAGCCAAGTATTAGAATATGCTAAGAGAATAACAAGAATGGCGATAAAAGACAGAGATAAAAATGCCAAATTGCATTCACAGTGAAGGAGAAAGAGTAGTGTGACAAATATGCTTACATGGCTTTTAAAAAGCTACATTCGGCCAAGGATTAACTTTTGGCTTGCTCTCCCCTGCGACTCTCATACTAATTCAGTCCAACTGTACCTTGTGCGATACCGCTTTGTAAAGGGAACCGACCATCTCTGCACTAAATGCAAATGTAGGAATTAAATATTTACCAATAGAAACTCTTGTCATATAGGAATGATGGGATTTTCCCGTTAATAGCACTTAGAGGGAAGTTAGGATATGCAAACATCTCTTTTTAAAGTTGATTTTTTTATTGCTGTTTCTGTCTAGGGATGTGAACGTGTGATCAACGTTCTAGTCTAGGGATGTGAACATGTGGTACATGATCAACCAATGAGTTTGGGCTCATCGATTAACATTCATGCTTACAAGTAGGCTTCTGGTAGGCATGGGGAGCCATCACCTCTCTGTGCTGCTGCCTCTGAATCAGAGGCAGCAGTGTGGGGTGGCAAAGCGGGAGCCTGTACATGCAGGGAGCCAGCTTCTACTCCCAGGGAGCTGCCTCAACAGCTGGCTCCTCACACACACTGGTTCCCAGGGAGCCGAATGCTGCCCCATGTGTAACCATGTAAACGCAGAAATTTTCAGCAGTTACACGGTTACTTAATTAAATGCATTTTAACGTCCCTATTCTGGTCTAACATAAAATGTATCCTATCACTCTATGTACACACACAGACTGCACAACTCTGGTGTGATAGGAGGTCAAGGAGGTTAATGTCCATCCAGAGGTGTAGAATAAAGCATAAAAACACCTCTGGCTAGTGTGTATGGGACCTGGAAAGCAGAGCATTTAGGAAGCCATACGCTTTCCAGATGGAAAAATTATTGCAGCATGTAACTAGAATGGGTAATTAATCTGTGGGCAACTCCTCCAAACTGAGTGATCTGTTGGCTGAAGCGGGCTACCGGCATAAATATTTAACATAACACCTTTCTTCCGTAAGACTTCCCCAGAGGAAGCAGCATGGCCCACCATTTATTGACTGCAGTCTGCTGGGACTGGAAACGGGGCTTCTGAGTAGCCTACGTCTTGTGAGTAGGATTCGTAGAGGAACCAAGAATGCTATACGCGAGGCTCAGATGACCAAGACATCCTTCCTCTGCTGCGCATTTGCAACACGCTCTAGTGAGGTCGGAACTACCCTAACAGTGCAGCAGCCATTGCGGTTTTGGTGTTTCTATGCTGCCTCCAGGCGAGTGGGAAGCACAGTCTTTCCACTGAGGCTGTATGCCTCAGGGCGTCTCTCCACAAAGACAGGCAAGTGGTTTGGAACAAGAAAAGGACACACGTGAATGTCGGATGTTTTTCACGGATTGCTGCAAATGTCATGAAAACAGGCTGTTTCCACAAGAATTTCTGGAGTGGAAACGGGCCTAATTTTCTGTGCCTCCAAACTGTGGTGGTAGGTGAAATCCCAGGTGTCTCGCTGGAACCTTGCGTAATGCAAAAATCTGGGTGGCACAGACCTGCCTCCAATGGGGACACATTTCACACAAAAAGCAGCCAAATGATGAGACTTGCCCCGCGCACCATGGTCGTTTGGAGAACATGGGGTTCCAACTGACTAGCCATGAGAACAGCAGCCTCTCCAGGGCTATCACGTGTGAAAGCCCCACAACTGAGTAGCCCTGTCCAAGGAGCTGGGCCTATTTGCAGGTCTAGGGTGCCTGGCCTAGCAAAAGAGGCAAAAACTAACTGCAGCAACTGAGACAAATGCATCAGGCTGCTTAAAAATAAGAGCAGGCAGTGCCACCAACAGGACAAAAGGGTAAGGAACAATCCTAGGAGATAGATGGAAGTGACTTTTTTATTCTATAAGAGCACTGAATAAAGGGAAGCACCCTCGGTTTTTAGCTTATAAAACCGGACTTATAGGTAAGCAGGCTTGTACTCATAACAAGCACCCCCCTCAATCTAAGTGTCCATGCTAGTATGGAGAACTGCAGCCCTTGCTACACTAAGGAGCAGCAGGGGCAATACAGGTTGACCCTCTCTAGTCTGGAACCCTCAGGACCTGACCAGTGCCAAACCAGAGAATTTGCCAGATCCCGGGAGGTCAATATTATCTAGCAGCATTACAAACACTTACTGGGCTCTTAGAAGACATTTAGGGGTAAATTTGAGCTAAAAACCAGCACAGAACACTGAGCCAGGACTGGTGGCTGTAAACAAACTTTATGGGATTGCAAGAAACTTGGCCATGCCCATAAATTGTCATCCTCCTAACTAAAATCATGCAGGATCATGGATGTTGCCGGACCAGAGAGGTTCAACCTGTACTTGGGAATCCAGACTAGCCCGACAAGCGCCTGGAAAACTTGGCTTTTTAATCCTGATTTTATTTGTCTCACTGACTCCCTGACACAAATTTAGATACAAATGCATCAGGAGAACCAATAAAACATTTGTTGCAAAGCTGCAGCTCTGTGCTGACACCAAGATTGCATGATGGTGTGATATTTCTTCTAAGTGTGAATGAAATTTGGCACTTTTTTCTATTTCTACAGCTAGAAGCATACAGATTGATTCTCAGTGTGGTCATTCACAAGCCAGATATGATATTATATATACAGATATTACACGTGTGTGTACGTGTGTGTGGACATATATAGATACACATACACACACACAAACATGAGTGAACTGTACATATAAACAAATTCATCACATGTTTAGTTTTAATTTTGTTCACATACATTAACATTTCCTTGTTTAATTCAGACAGAAAAGCATGCACTTACAAGAAAACCAAGCCCATGACTTTTGAATTGATCCAGATGCAATAATGGAATCATTTTAATCATAGGAAAGTGGACATTTCATTACAAATATATCAGTATTAAGTTTTTATTATTCCTGTTAACATAATTTACAGAGAGTATTTTCAGCCTCAATATTACGCAAATAAACTTGGCTTAAGCTAACTATACTGTAAATTCTAATTTACAGACAGTGGAATCTTTCAGCTTTAAACAATCTGGACATATATACCAAGGTTGTGAAGAGTTATATAGGTCACTCCAAAGATTAAAATGTATGCCAACCATTGCACCTTTGTGTGTTGCAAGAACAGGACCCCACACCATCAGCTAAGAAAATCATAAGAACTATATTTTAATTGATTTTTGGAAGATTTGGTTAATCTGTGTCTTTAAAACCATCCTAATTCTTTTGGACAGGGTACCTGTTACTATACATTAGACTCGTCTGAGAAGGTTCTTAAAAGAAGAGGTCTGACAGAAGGTCTGGACGACAATGAATCAGATTCCTTCCTATTGCTCAGTTTTTTCTGTAATAGTGAGGTAAAAATACTTAAAGCACATGAGAAATGTTCTTCAATCCAGTGGTGTAACAATAACAAAAAAACATATTTAAATCATTTTGTAAAAAACCTTCAAGTTAAATCATCAAAAAGACTAAGCAAGAGACAATTTATAAATGCCAAGATTATGAAATATTGGCCAAATTTTTCAAGTCGGCGTGCCAAAGAGTTGGGTAGTTTGAGTGGGGTGTACCACAACTCTGAAGATCACCCTGCTTATTTAGATGCCCAATTTTGGGCATCAAAGTTTGGAAGTTTCTAGAAGAGGGGAAGAATCCATCACTCTCTGCAGTAGCATTTCTGGATATGTTGAAGCACTGGAAGTATGTGGCAACACAGCAAGGTGAAAATGGAACCAACTAAGAACACACATAAAATGCTCAAGTATCTTATCATTCCCTCTCTCCCTCCCCCCCACCCCACTCCCCGACAGCAGGTGCAATTGAAAATTGTACTCAGTGTAACTGGTACAAAATCTTGGTTTATTTTGCAGAAACTTTATAGCTTTTACAGATAGAAAAGTACATTCTTTACAGTTACATGAGTCAACATTGTGTCGTTAGCCAGAGAAATGTGGTGAAGAAGCTACTGATAGACTACAGAGGTGGACAAGCACGAGATGGACTGTTTGCACACAAATTGAGTAACCAGGAACTCTGTGAAAAATAATGTAGATTGTTGTTTTAAAGTTTCAAAGAAATAATGCCCTGAAAAACAGAGAGTCTACAGGGGGAAAAGAGGGTACGTAAAGACAGGGCCAAATCCTCAGCATTGATTTCCATGGAGTTGCATCTGTTTACACTAGTGGACAATCTGGTCCAAAATACAGATTGTAAGTCCCCTGAGGGTGTACCCCGTCTCATGTCTGTCTGTAAAGCACCACGCACACCTAGGGGTTGTATTAAATTATAGCAGCAGCTTCAGGATGCATGCAACAAGGATGATGAGCAGCAAGTGGTTGTGATGCTTTAAACAACAGGACAGCAACATCAAAGGGAAAGGGGGAGACAAAATACATTTAAATGAAAAGGTGCCTTTAAAAACACTGGCTTATTGCCTAAGCAGATCTAAAAACATAGGTTATCCGCAGTTATGCATTCAGAGACAGAAAACACAGCAGTACAAGCAAACTTTTACTGATTAAGAAAGGAAATCACCTTATTCATTCCAAGAAAAGCTGTGATTGCTGGAAGTTTGAGAGAGCATGAAGATAGTGGATGTTCCTGAGGAGGGAAGGCGTTTCGTTACCTAGTTCACAACAGCACACAAGGTGGGAAATGGCAGCAGAGAGAGAAATGCAGAAAGCAAAAGAAACCATGAATGCATTTTGCATTTCAAAACACTTGCACACAGAAACATCAACGAATAAAGGCCGAGTGACGCGCAGTGCGCTGAAGAGAAATGTTACAAAATGGGACCGCTCCGGGCGAAATCCCGGCCACACTGAAGTCAAGGGCAAAAAATCACATTGTTTTTGGTGGGGTCAAGGTTTTGCCTGCCCTTTCTAAGAGGAGATACAGTTGCCATTCAGGCTTTTGAAATTTCAGTCAGCACGCTGGAAGCGTAGACATCTAAATAAATGGCCTCGTCTGAAATTTTCCACTGAAGTCAGTGGAGGCTGCAGCATCTTGACATTTTGAAAAAAGCTGGCCACTTACTTAGGCGTCTAACTATGGACACAGGTCTGAAGCCCTTGACTACGATGTCAGAATTGCTACTTGAAACATAACATCTTGAAACCCTCCCTCGTCATGTGTTTTTATACATACTGGGGTGGCCAAACCTCCTGTCTCTCCACGATGCACACAACAATCTTCAACAATTCGAGAGCCAGAGCAAATCTGCCAGGGCGTAAGACTTCCACCCCCACCACACTAGCATGTTGGAAGGTAAGTCTCTTACTTGTCTGTGTGAGCACATGGAAAGAAATCCTGACCCCACTAGGTATGTCTACACTCTACTGTAACCCTGGGCCCTGACTTGGCTTTGAGACCAAGTCCTCTGCCAGCCACACATAAATCTGCGTGACACAGGTCAGCAACCAGTCACAGCCCAGGTGCTATGACCCTGCTAAGGGGCTGGCTCAGAGTCCAAGCAAGGTGGAGTATAATTTTTGATGGGGGGGGAGGGGGTCACTCCAAAATTTTGGTAAGTGATCAAGGGCTGCACTTTTCAATGGAGAGGGCTTGGGGTCTGGGATGGAGGCTGGGTGCAAAAAGGAGCCCGGGGTAGGGGAATGGGGTGCAAGAGGGAGGTGTGGGGTCTGGGAGGGAAATTGGGCACAGGGGTTTGGGCTGTGACTTAGGACAGCTGGGGGCTGTGGCCTGGAGCAAGGGATTGGGGTGCAGGGTCTTGAAGAGGATGGGGTGCAGGAATGGGGGTGCAGAGGGCTTGGTTTGTGACTGGGGCAGGGAGTTGGGGGGCAGGAAGAAGCTGCGGTGCCAGAGGTAGGCTCTGTCTGGGGGGCACTTAATCTAGGTGGCTCCCTGCCTGCCATGCTCCACACACCGCTCAAAGCATCCAACTGCTGGGGCCATGTGCGTCTATGCGGCGTGCCATGGGGGAGTCTGCTTGTGGCTTGCGCTGGGGAGGGGTAGTATGAGGAGCCCCCCACAAAGAGGTGCACACTGTGCAGAGAGGCACAGGCTGGCCCAGCAGGCAGGGAGCCTGGCCGAGGGTTGTGCTGGGCTATGGGACATTGGCAGCCCAGAGAATCGAGTCAGGCCAGATCTGACGATTTGGGGGGTCGGATCCAGCACGTGGACCATATGTTGACGATTCATGGTCCAAGTCCTGGTGTGATTTGGGTCCAAGCCCTGTCATTTTTACAGGGTGGACACAATGTCTACAGATCCAAGTCAGAAGAGTTGCAGAGGGCCATATGGATGTGTCAGCAGAGCTATGGGACCTGGTCCAGCAAATGTAACCCCAGGTTTACAATGCAGTTGGTAGATTAAGGCACAGGCTGGGACACACTTTGTCCATAGTCCCAGATCCTGCAGTCCCAGGCTTACAGTGCAGTGTATACATACCTAAAAGAAGTCAACACCAGAACTCCCAATGACTCCAGAGGGGTTAGAATTTCAGCCCTGCTGAGGAAGTTCTAGCCAAATCAACTAGCAGCCCAGACACCGATTGGTCAAACACGCACCTTTCTCACCCAGACCAGTCTAGATATTAGGAATGTTAAGTAGCGATTAATTAGCTAACTGAATAGTTGATGGAATTTTCATTGACTACTGGATTAGTCGAGGGGGGAGGGGCTTGCTACCCCTGCTGCAGATCTGCAGTTTAAATGGAGTAAAAGCTGGGTATGCAGGCAGCCTGGTTCCTACATTTAAACTGCAGAAGGTTAGCTCCTGGGGGTGGCGGGACTAAGCAAAGGCAGTGGGGGGAGGGGGAGCAGGCAGCACTATGGAGATGGTGCTGGGGGGAACCAGCTTTTAAGCCAGCTCCCCCCCAGCACCGGCTCCTGCTCCCCCCTTGCTGCCTCTGATCCAGGGCAGGTCTGATACAGAGGCAGCAAGGTGGGAAAAAAGCGAGTAATCGAGTAGTGACTCGACTATCCAATAAACCTAAACTTATATCGGGTAGTCGACTACTTGAGTAGTTGCTTACATCCCTACTAGGTATTTTCAACGACTAACTTTTGGACACAATGGAAAGCTGGAACAAACCCCCAAAAGTCTAGCCAGAACATTTTGGCACCGACTTCTGATCAACTAGATAACATCTTGTTCCTACAAGACCCAAAAGCTGCTCCCACTATAGTCAATAAGATAATGTTTTAGACCTGTATGATTTTTCAGTCGCCAGACTCATTATACCATACTTCTCCCACCTTGAGGAAAATTTCTCACCACCATTGCTAAGAGCAAACCTTTCTTTGCCTTATAAACTGGCATGCCTGACTTCCTAGAAGTCCTTAGGTTGTTATATTTCTAGCATCTTAAACAAAAACCCCAAAATAAATTTTCTAAAATGGTGACTCAAAGTCTTAAGAATTGGACATCATCAACTACCTACCAAGCTGGTTTGCTTTCCTTATAAACTTTTAAGGAAGAGTCAGATACTGGATGTCTCTTTTTTGTTCTGACCCATTAATGTTCTTAGAACCAACATAATAAAGAGCTAAGAGGAAAACAATACTAGTGTTCAAAACCGGACGTGGTAAGTTGTTGAGACCTGTCTGATAAACATACAAAGATTCCTAAAACGTTCATTGCTTGTAACACTGAACACTAATACTTGATTTGACAGATTTTATTATTTCAGAAGTGATTGAACTGCGCTATCAATGTTGTGCCAAGGGAATCTAGCAAATGGTGTAAGAAAACATCTTAGATTTTTTTTAGAGATAATTAAATAACATTTTGTGGTCAAAATGCAGGACAGAGGAAAAAAATTAGCCTGAAAGAAGTGCACAGAGTTTATAGTAAAGTCACACAGGATTCCAGACCGCCATCAGAAAAAGCTCTTCTTCCACAGCCTCAGTGTTTGAAAATCATTTTACAATTTCATTGAACACTAATTCCAATGAATCTTAATGTCACTGAAAACACTTGATGGCTTGATTACAATTCTTACACATCCCAGATCACACCTTGCCTAGAAACTACAATCTCAAAATGACACAAACGGATTGCTTAGTAACCTGCTACTTGTAGCTGTGCTGCAAACAGAAGGTTGAACGAAAATTGCTAATATTCCGTGAAAATAAATATATTAGATATTGGGAGAGGGGGAATAGAGTGCCTTGTAGCTGTGCTGCAAACAGAACTTTGAACGAAAATTGCTAATATGCCGTGAAAATAAATATACTAGATATTGGGAGAGGGGGAATAGAGTGAGAGGCTAAAGTAGCTAAGCATTAGTAGGTGTTAGTAAAGGTGGAGGAGGATGGGGCTAACAGGCCTGATGGGATGTTGCAGGGATATTTTCAATCAGAGAAGCACATAGCAGGGAACATGAATTTTTCCTTTTCATTCACATGCACCATTTTCCAGGCATGTTCTAACCACAGCTGCGCTGGCTTTTGATGTTGAGGAAACAAGCAAAGGTATCCTGGTGTTTATCACCAACATTCAAAGACAGTTGCCACCACTTACACAGCAGACAATTTCCATTTTATAAGCAGCCCCTCCCACTCGTCCTCCCTGTCTTACAGCAGAGTGAGCGTGGCCTGCAGGAAACACGGCACCATGCCCGGGAAAACACAGTGTCTCCCCTGAAGAGACATTAGGTAGTGAAAAAGAAAGAGGCCAGCCGGTGGGTTCCTCTCTAGGCTGGAACTCTGCAAAGCTGGGTTTTAATCCTAGGTCCACAACAAACTTCCTGTGTGATCCCTCAACAAGCCAATTGGCCATCTTGTCTCCATTCCCCGTCTGTAAAGCAAGGACCTATTGCTTCCCTTCCTCGCTGGAATTCACTATGAGAAATGTAGCAACTCAGGTGCAAAAATCCACTATTCCACCCTTACAATGAGAATGGGAAAGATAATGAATTCTCCCCTCTCCCCCCCCCCGATACCTTTCTCAGCAAAAAATCCCCAAGAACTCACTACAGAAATCAGGCCTGGGCAAGATGAGGCTCGGGGCCCAGACCAGCCCACCTAACACTTTGATCCGGCCCGCAGACTGCACCTGGCCGCTTTCTATTTATACCCTGACGCTTGTGCCACCAAATTTCCAGGCGGTGGCTTAGGTAGCAGGATCCTATTTAAATGGCTCCCAGCTGTGGTGCTACCCTGGCAGGGTCCGGAGGTGCAAGCCCTTTAAATAGCTGAAGCAACCCTGGGGAGCTGCCAGGCAACAAAATGGCAACAGGGCCGGAAGCCACGAGTCCTTCGTTGTGTTTTTAATTTAAAGCATCTGGCCCCAACTACTCTGGGGCGAGGCTAGTCCCCCATATCCCTCCCCTTCCTCCCCAGACCCCGCCCCTTCCTGGGTGGGATGAGTGGAGCCAGCCTGTGACCACATACCAAAATTCATTAAGTGGCCCTCCTGCAAAAATTATTGCTCACCCCTGCTCTGGATGATTAAAAATAACTTATCAAGAAGTGGGTTTTGCCCATGAAAGCTCATGATTCTATATATTTTGGTTAGTCTCTGAGGTGCCACAGGACCACCCGTTTTTGAAGATACAGACTAACATGGCTGCCACTCTGAGACATCTAGATGATTGAATATGTCAAATCTGCAAGTTTTGGCAGTCAATTAAGACCTATAATTGGGTTGGACTAGTGATAATGAGCAGAATTAAGTCCAGTGTGGTTTACGAGAAATACTTTCTCGAAGGGATAGCAGTTTGACTCCAAACAGAGCATCAAATGCTGAATGAAAAGGGGTATTTGTAATGCAGCTGCTTCTGCATATCGGGGTGATACTTCTGGTTAACACTTTTGGCCTTTTTTGGTAATGGAAGGAATGACATGATGAGATGGAGGGAGCCTGTCAGTAGCTGCAAATGGTGTGGCTATTCCTCACTTTGTCAGGTATTCAGAAGAACAAAAGCTTCTCTCTGGAACAAGGGAAGGGAGGATATTCACTTATTACTTACCTGATGGGTTTTCCTTTTTGCATTTTTAAAAACTATTAAAAGAATCTCCGGGGAAAGGCTGACGAAGATAAGGAGAACTATTGCCAGCAAGGTTGGTATGGACGTCACCATATAAGCAAATACAAAATACATTCGTTGCTGCTTCAAGAAAGGCCTGAAAGAGAAGGGACACAATGAGACTCAGACACTACGATTTGCCACTGCCATTCTCCAGCTAAGTGAGATTCAAATTAAGGTTAGCACTTTCATGGGACACATTTTCATATGGAGGAGGAAGGGGGACATTGACTGCAGCATTTGTGCTTGCAAATATACCTGTTCCTGCTGCTTTTATTTTGCTTTCTCTTCCAGTTCTCATCTGGCTGCTCTGCAATCTATTGAAACTGCTCTTGAAGCAAGTACAGGTTGAATCTCTCTAGTATGGCACTCTCGGTCCAGCAACATCTGTGGTCGAGCATGATTTTAGCCAGGTGTCCACTTATCATGGGTGTGGCCAAGTTTCCTGCAATCCCATGAAGTTTGTTTACAGCCACCAGTTCTGGCTCTCAGTGTTCTGTGCTGTTATTTAGCTCTAGTTTACCTTTAAATAAGAGGCCAATTACCAGTGGCAGTGTTGGTGATGCTGCTAGACAATATTGACCTCCTCTCGTCCGGCAAATTCTCTGGTTCGGCATCGGTCAGGTCCCAAGGCTGCCAGACTAGAGAGGTTCAACCTGTAGCAGCTTCCTCCCAGCAAAGGCTCAGAGCAATCTCATCCTCCATGCCAGAGACGGCGTGGCACATTCACACCCCATTCCTCTGCTCCATCTTCAAATTCTCTCCTGATTCTTCTACTCCTCTACATCACTGTCAGCAACACCTCTTGTGCTCTGCTGCGCTGTGTCCCTTGGGCCCTCTGCTTTTGCCCCTACCTGGTGTTGTTTCAATTATCATTGTCCATGCTGATGGCTCCCGAATTCCCCTCGCTATTCAGCTTCCCACCTCGGACAGTCCCTGACCTTCTCCTAGCCACCCTGTGCAGACTCATATTCAAAAGGGCACAGCTTCCCCCTCCTTTCTTAGTCGCAGGCAGCTGCATCGTGGCATTTTGTCTACACAGTCTGAAGCAAGCTGGGGTTTGAATCTGTTCTGCACTAGCGTCCCACCCTCCAGCTGCCCAGGCAAAACCTGCTGAAGCACACGAAGAGTCCATTCCTGCCTTCTGATCTAGTCTTCTGTGTAAGAGCAGCTGATACAAACTCATTAACGAAGTGTCACTGCACACTGCCTAGGACAGGCCAGCATGGGATAAGTTTACTGCACAGCCTGCTGTGAACTAAGTGTTTGTGTAGACAAAGCCATCTTCAAACACCTTCCTCTGCTCCATCCCAGGCAGGCCACCCCATCTGATCTGTTTTCCCTGCAAAACCATGGCCCTAGGTGCAACCCTTCCCTATCCATCCCTGTATGAAGCTCATTTCAGCATTCAGTATCACACCTTCTGCCCTGCCCATTGCAACGCTGCACCCATATCTTTCGCCCTACTCCCTGCCTATCCAGCTAAAATGCCCACCACTAATTAGACTCTTTGGAGAGTGATCTCTTTTCATTTTTCCTGTCTGTTTTTCTCTTCCTATTCCTATATTTTCTGTCTCATTTTTGACTGGGGGTAGATTTTTCAAAAGTCCCAAGTCTGATTTTCAAAAATGACATAGGTACACGGGAATTTTCAAGGTAACTTAGGATCTTAAAAGACTCTCTCATGTGGAAAAGGAAAATTTTGAAATTTTTTCCTCTGCTCTCCATGGGTATGTCTACACTACCCTCCTATTTCGAAATAGGAGGGTAGTGTAGACATACCCATGGAGAGCAGAGGAAAAAATTTCAAAATTTTCCTTTTCCACATGAGAGAGTCTTTTAAGATCCTAAGTTACCTTGAAAGTTCCCGTGTACCTATGTCATTTTTGAAAATCAGACTTGGGACTTTTGAAAAATCTACCCCCAGTCAAAAATGAGACAGAAAATTTAGGAATAGGAAGAGAAAAACAGACAGGAAAAATGAAAAGAGATCACTCTCCTCAGCTTTCACTAATTTTAAGGCTTCCCCCATATCTTATCTCTTTGCTATTTCTCTGTCATTAACGTTTGCTATGATCTTAATCCCTGACTACTAAGAACAGGGAGTTGTGTTGCCAGCTCTAAGAAGCAAAGACAAACATTGTCTTCTGAAAGGAAGTTTTACCTTGTCTAGTCTGTACAGTAAAATGTACAGACTCTTTCTATTAAGAAAACTATTACTGAGGAAAAATTATCCAAAATACATCACTTTGAACGTAGACCCAAGTACAGCTCTTTGAGATGGTTTTTAGTGGTGGGAGTCCAGAAACTCAAGTCCCCCAAAGAGTTAATTGTATTTTCACATCTGCTATGACAATGGGGAACTGACAGATGTATGGAAAGGAACCCTCATGAGAACAAGAATTCTAAAGCATCTGTTTAGCATTAGTGGAAAATATTTAGCTATGCAAATAGCTCAGGGTGCTGTCCCTGCCAAATAAAGGAACGCAATGGCTGAGCGTTGTTTACTACAGGGGGAATCAACCTGTAGCCTGTGACATGGAAAGTGGCTTACCAAGTTTAGTTTGCTATAGCTCACTTGCTTTTGTTAGACATCTTGAGTAAAATCTTGACCCCACTGCTCTCAATGGGAGAGAGGCCTGTCTCCTCCTAGCTTCATTCTGCTCCCTCCCCACTTATGAAGTATCAGAGTATCCACTCCTGCCTTAGTTACATTGTCTGTGTCCCCTGTTCTCTCTCTCTCACTCCACTACCATCATTCCCACAGTGCGTTCTTCGTCTCCACTGTATGTTCTCTCTCTCTCTCCCTCCATATCCACTCATCCACCCACACCGAGGCTATGTCTACACTCGCGGCTTCTTGCGCGAGTAATATGCAAATGAGGCTAAGCATGGAATATTGCCGAGCCTCATTTGCATACCGAATGAGCCACCATTTTTTTCAGAAGAGGCTCTTGCGCAAGAAGGAGCATCTACACTGCCCCTCCTTGCTCAAGAAAAACCCTCTTGCACAATGCCGTTACACCTATTATTTGACAGGAAGAACAGCATTGCGCAAGAGGGTTTTTCTTGTGCAAAAAGGGGGCAGTGTAGACGCTCCTTCTTGCGCAAGAGCCTCTTCTGAAAAAAATGGTGGCTCATTAGGTATGCAAATGAGGCTCGGCGATATTCCACGCTTAGGCTCATTTGCATATTACTCGCGCAAGAAGCCGCGAGTGTAGACATAGCCCGAGTGTGAAATATTTACCAGGACAAATGAAGGCAACGGCCTTAACATCTGGGAATATCCTCAGGCAAGAAGCCACACCCCTCTCCTGCATCAAAGCTGTGGGATTCCCACCAAGGTGTCATTTGTTTGCAGGCACCATATTGTGTAGATCCCCACTAAGAAGCATCTGATCAATCTCAAGTCCCCAAACTCTTCTGGCCACTGGACGGGGAAGGCCCCTTTCCCTCACCTCTCCCAACCCACTATCTATGACCCACAGCTCCCTGGCTGCTGCTCAGCTACTAGTGGTCTCCACTAACCTACCTCTGCTCCAGGTTTCTCCTCCCTCAGTCAAAAATTCAATACCAGCTTCCACTACTGCTCTTAGCTTTCCCTAAGGAGCAGGGAAATTCACCAGGGACCCTGTATTCCATAGGAGCCCACAGCAGCAGCAGTGAAAACTGACGAGATTCGGTGTCCATTTCCACTTGATTACAGCATTGGAAAGCCATAAGCAGCAGCAGCATTAGAATGGTCTGTCTGAAGACTGAAGACAACTCTGCATCCTTGGCTAAAGGTGAAAGGTTACCTTGACAGACATCAGGACCAAAGGGCGGAATTATGGTAGGTAGCGGGGGCAGCAGCCCTGTGCTTTGGGACGCGGCTTGCTTTTGATCACATTCTCCGGACGCTAAGGGAGTGAGGGGAAAGTGCTTGCATTCCATGCTTGCCTCTCACTCCTAGCTGGTGAGCACTTTCCCCTCATTCCCTTAGTGTCCGGGAGACGGGATGAAAAGCAAGCCACGTCCCCGGAGCGCATGGCTCCTGCCTGCCTTACCCTGCCAAAATTCCACCCTTGTCCAGGACTAGAAACTCCATTTGGGTTTTAAAGGAAAGCTCTGCGTCTCTACGGGTGGAACTGCTTTTTATCACCACGAGCAACTGGATTTTATAAGCTCTGCTAACACATAGTGAAAGAGTTCCTTAATTTCTCTCAAAAGATAGGGAATCACTTATTCCACCATAAAATTTGAAAACAAAACACATCCCCAGACGTTAGGTATAACTGCAGATGGCATGAAACAAAGAATAAGACAGTTTCACATTTGGAAAGCATCATCTAGGTGGCTCATGAGCAGAAGTGCCTGCTTTAATCTTAGTCTGCTTCTTTCTAATTTTCTTCCGGAGTTTCCACTGTTTACTGTCTTTTAATCAGCATTTGATACTAGGTAGGTAAAATCCCGTTTGATCAGTAAACCGGTTAAACGTTACGTTTAACTGGTTAGCTGCTTAAATGAGGTGGGGAGCTGCTCCAGCGTGGCCAGGCCGCTGGTTCACCACTGACATCCCTATTTGATACTACAATCATTTACTGATTTTAGGGATCTACTATTTTAGATCAACATTTCCTACCCATGATCTCATGGTGTCTCTTTCACACAATGCAAGCCCTACACATTCACCTAAAGGCAAACAAACAAACAAGGACATCATTGAAAGAAGAGGAATACTTACCAAATGATTCCTCCCCAAAAGAATGAGAAAAATACATAAAAGGCTAAGGAACCCCAAATCACAAAGTGGTTCATCCAAGTCCAGAAGCGAGTATCTAATGCCAGCTATACACGTGAAAACAACAAATGGAACAGTTGTTAGTTACCAAGCATATCATTTAGATCCCAGATTTCCCTGAGATAGTAAAGATTCGCCTTCCATTCATTCAGATGTCTAAATTCAGTAGTTGATTGTCTCTTAGCAAAGGTTCAACAATGAAAACACTTAATTTGCACACTGGCTTAACACCAATTAAAAATATATTGCACGTTGGCTTAACACCAATTAAAGATATACTGGCACTGGAAAAGGTTCAGAAAAGGGCAACAAAAATGATTAGGGGCTTGGAACGGGTCCCATAAGAAGAGAGATTAAAAAGACTGGGACTTTTCAGCTTAGAAAGGAGGAGACTAAGGGGGGATATGATAAAATCATGACTTATATGGAAAAAGTGAATAAAGAAAAATTATTTACTTGTTCCCATAATATAAGAATTAAGAGTCACCAAATGAAATTAACAGGCAGCAGGTTTAAAACAGACAACAGAAAGTTGACTGCCTTGCGTGAAGAAACCAAGGACTGCTGGATATAACAGTATGATGCTTTGCTGCTTGAGGTAATAGACCAGCAAGTAGTAGCAGACTCAACGTCTATACATAATCTCGCCACTACAAGGGGACAAAAACTGACCCTTTGTCAACACAGGCTATATACAGCACATAGCTCAATGCCCTCTGGAAAAGGCCTTTGTTCTCTTTTGCATTACAAAATATTATATTACGATGATTTGGCAAGCGTATTTTTATGACAGAGCCCCAACTCACTGGACTGGAGTCAAAACTGGGTAAAGAAAATTATTCTGTTGATTCTCTCTCCTCTCCTGAGCTGAAAGCCCAAGATGTGAAGGTGCAGAAGAAAAGACAATAGAACAAATTCACAAATCCTAGGAGACAGAACACACCCTCACACAGAAAATCTAGACTAGACTGTAAATTGTGTGAAATATTGTACAGAAAAGAAATGATGGACAATTTAATCATACAAAAGAATCAAAGACCCAAAACTTTATAGGAAATAAATGGCACTGACACATTATATAATAAAGTGTATTATTGTATACTATAGCATATGGTTTATTTCTGTGATGTCTTTCAACAGCATATTGAAAATAAGGTAAAGTTCTAACCTTCAGAGTGACGGTGAACACTAATATAGTAAAAACAATAGTTCCAAATGTCCAGTTTCCAAAAACCTGAAAAACACATTAATCACCACATGTATGCCTCTGTCTTGTTGGAAACACAAAACAAGCTACGTAATTAGCAACTAGAGTGGGTAAAATTCAATGCAGTGACTTAGTTTAGATTCATCTGTACAAAGATATGTGCCACCATATGCTCTTGTAAAGCTAGCTGCCCATTACAATACTCCTATGCCATGCAGTACCATACAAACAATTAACGTGTTGTGACAGTAACAAAATCTTCTACTGGCAGCCGTTTATCAAGAATGCAGGTCGCTTGGACCGGTTGTATTTAGATGACTTGCTCATTTTGTGTTTTCTTATAATTTGGAACCCATCACAGTAGCTGCACTTTTCATGTAATTTTTTCCCCTTTGATGAATATACTGATTGGCATTTTCAAACTAGAATATTCTGAGTTTGCTTGTTTGCAGATACTAGTGACTACGCACAACAGAGAAAAGCAGATACTGCATATATATCCAAATGATGGCAATGAATGGGACAGATGCTTACCACAGGCTGTCAAGATCTGGATGCATACATTAAAACAGAAAGTGAAATGCAAAAGTTTTAAAAAATGCAAAAAATTAAAGTTAATAGGCGCAAAAAAGGATTCAATCAAACATACATGGATATTATGATTAATTGCTGGTTAGCAGTCCTTACAGTCCTAAGTAGTTACAAAACGAGGACATAACCACATAGCTTGTTTTCAGAATGTCACGCAGACTCAGCCTCTCAAATCATTTACATGGCAAAGTAGTGCAGAACCAAATTCATTCAAATAGAACCAGACTGATTATACAAAGTCACCCTTTAAATACACAAGGATGTTGCAATTACAGTATGGTGCAGTGTTTCCCAAATGGTGTTCCGCAAAGTGAAAATAGAGTTCCGTGAGAAAATTCCATTACAACATTTTATGATTAAAAAAATAATTAATATTATGTGCTTTTTGTTTTTAAACATGTGCAATTAAACTACGTATTGATTTCATGACCTCGTTTAGCATTTTTTTGTTATTATCCTTATTTATTTGCGGTCTACTTTTTCAGCTCCATGTATTAGACTGTTATTAGGAGTTCTGCAAAATTCTTTCAAGTTTAAAAGGGTTCCGTGTCCAAATAAAATTGGGAAACACTGGTATAGTGGGTTAATCGTGTTATAAAACAGAAGTTATAAAACTTCACAAACTTTCTATGCGTGTGTATTTTGTATCTACATGCAATCAGCCCACATTGCAACATCTTCTCTCAGAATATCAACTTCTGAAAATGATCATTTGGCAAAGTTAAGTTGCACTACAAACCAGAAGGTTTGAAGTTGAGGGGCCTCATCCTGTTATCACTCTGCACACAGAACTCCCCCTAGAAGTTTCGTACCGAGTCTACAGTAGGAGGTGGCCTCACAATTTTGATTGCACACATATTTGTATGTGGGGCTTTGTACCTAGACAGCATAATGATTTCTCAATTGTTTACAGGGCAAGCTGGGAGAAGCTTCACAAACAGACAATAAAAAAATCTTCCGTAATTTACTTTACAGATCTCAAATTATTCCTGCGCCATTAAGGGAATTCGTGACTACATCATAAGAGAAGATTCTAGACACATTTCACTGACTGATACATACACATGTTATACAAAGTGTACACACACACACACACAAATACACTCAACGGGGTGGGGTTTTTTGTTTTTGTTTTTTACCTTTCCATGATCTTCTAATGACGAATTTTGAAAAAGAAAATAAACTCCAAAGAAAAACGCAAGCCCTTCAAAGGCTCCCAGAAAGGTCCAGTATAAGAAAGGCTTCCACTGCAACATAGCATTATCAGAAATTTTCCTGGTAAGAAACAGATTGACAAGAAAAATCACTTTCATTTTTCCAGAGTTTTTTCCACTGACTTTGGTATAGGGGCAGCATCTTCTTTGTGTTTGTAGTGATGCCCAGGAATTCTTTGGAGATCAGAGGGGTTTGAATCAGGCCCTTAATCTGAGAGGTATGTCTACATTATAGCATTATTTCAAAATATGCTATTTCAAAATAGTTATTTTGAAATAGCTTATTTTGAAATAACATGCTTACACACAAAATGCATTTCGAAGTAGCATTTTGCTATTTCGAAATAGCACATCCACACTGAGTGGATGCTGAACTGCATTCAAGGCCAGCTGGAACCAGGTGTCTTTGTGTGGCTGCTGCCTGAGGCTACCTGAGGCCTGTGCTTAAAGGGACACACCCTGGACAGCTGGTCATCAGGTTTCCCTGCTTCTTTGCCTACCTCGATGAGGGACAAGAAAAATCATTTTTTTGATTTTTGTCTCTGTGTGCTCTCACTCGGGACACCACAGCACTTTGCAACATGGAGCCGGAGCTGCCCCTGGGCACTCTGGTGCTTCTTGGATGCATTGCTGAGAGCCTGGCTGCACTTTCTACAGGCTGCCATCCAGGAGGTCCATCGGGGGGCTGTCAGTATCCAGGAGGCCCTGTGGGAGAGCTTCCACCCTGAGGTGCACTAACAGTCTCCCTGGTGTGCCCCATGGGGGCTTGTGCCTCATTCCTCCCCCACGTCCTTCCACTTACCCCTTCCTAGCCCCCCTTTCTGATGTAAAATAAAAAACATGTGTTTTCATAAACACAAACTGTCTTTATTTAACAAAAGGGGGGGGTGAAACTCTGGTGAGACTGGGGAAAGGAGGCAGGAGACGGGAGGAGAAGGGGTGGGAGAGGGGAGAGGGAAATCTGGGAGGAGGGAGCTGGAAGGGGGAAGCAAGGGGAGGGGAAGCTCAGGGCTGGGGGTCTCATCGGACCAACTTGATTGTCATGCAAACTTGCTCCTGGATTCGCATATGGCCTTTGGTGGCCAGGCTGGCAGCTATCCTGCCATAGACGGCTCCATTCCTCTGTCTTGTGCGGAGATCACGGACGTTGGGGGCATCCCCCCAAAACGTGAATCAGGTCCATGATCTCCACCCTGGACCAGGAAGGCGCCCACCTTCTCCAGGCCCTGGCAGGCTCC